TCTCTCTCTCTCTGTGTGTGTCTCTCTCCTGCATTTTATGAAAAACATTTAATACGTTTTCTTTACTGAAAAACAAAACAAGAATATGAATGATCTTACGTTTTCTTTTCTAAAAAGAAAAAAAAAGTAAAACACGAAATAATAGTCCTGGTTTTATTTCTCGTCCCCTTTCGGTTGTCCTTGCAACAACAGTAATGATCCAACTGGTGTGACCTTCACCTTGCTGTTCGAGACAAAACTTCACAAGAACCTGACACGCGCAGTTCGCACCTGGTTGGAATACAAGGCGCCGAAAGTATACGTGCCGGGTCATAATTTGTTGGACGTCGGGGATCTGCTGCTGATCATGGACAGGTTAGTTGGTCAACTGTAATAATGATGATAATAATAAACATCAAGAAAAGTATAATAAGCAACATACGGGTATTTGGTTTTTGTTGGTTATTGAAATCATCCATTACAAATTATGTTAGTTTCTATCCAGTAACATGTTCGCCCACAAAGTAACATAACACCGCACGTCCCATGCAGCTTACATCACTGCAAAATATTCACCTGTCCAGCCATGGACAGTCCTTTCGAAGAGCGTCGGATTGGTTCACTCATATTTATTTCAAAAATATTTATTTTCCAGGCCTTGTGTGTTTGCGACAGATCGATTTAATACATCTCGACGCATTGTTGTGCGCTGAGTGAATACAAACATGTCCTGAACGAAAACAGGGAAATTTAATATGCCATAGCAATAAAGAACAAAATGAATTAACTTTGCTGTAAATGTAGTGTAAGCCCGTTCAGTTGTTCTGCATCACTGTTTACTGTGTTTTGTACACATTCACTGAGGATGTCTTTGTCTATCTGCTCTCGAAGGACCTAGGTGATAAACGTAACCGCTATGAAGCGTTATTTGTGATCATTCCTCGTCATTTTTTCTTTTAGAGTTGTCTATTACATGAGAACTTATTCTAGCACCTATGTACCGTTCTGAAAGAAAGTAATATTTTTACTAGATGTAGTTGTGATATTTATTTTTCTCATTAGAAATTACTGTGCAAATCAGAGAAGCGAATACGGTACACCGTGAACAATTGATATCGTATGTAGCAAAAATATCTACAAGTATATTATTCCCCTGAGTTCTGAACTAAAATATATATGTTATCTTCTGAATTCCAGCCGGTGTCATTGTCTTACCGCAATCAAGCATCACACCTAAGCAAAAACACTGAACTGCGTGCGGAGTACCCCGGACAAAAATATTCCTTTGGAAAAAAAACGTCACACGGATATCTTCCCTAATTAAACAGCGTTGATGAGCCGGTCTTTCAAGCACACGACTTCTCAGCAGCACAAACATCTCTCCGCTAACAAGACTGTCAGCACTTGAAGACAACTGCTGCTTGACACTTCCTTGTACCTGTCCTGTTTGAACAGTGACGTCAAAGCTGACACATCGGTGACTCAACGGCAAGATGAAGTACTTTCAATTGCTGGTGCCTGTCTTCGTCACCATCTTCTCCACCATATTTTGTGAGTACCCAACTGTCATGTCTGTGTCTTTGATCTAGTATTGTCAACAGCATGTCTCATTGTGTACCCTTTTTGCCAGTCACTATTTAGAAGCAAGTCACCACCTTGGTCAGTTACGCGGAGGGTTGAGAATTAAACCCAAATTGGGTCTCCTTCCTGCCTCCGGAAAATAAACTCTTGTCAACTTCATCTCGTAGGTTTGGCTCTGCAAAATAAACTACGATGTGTTAATGTAAAATAGCCGGTCTTTGAAAACGCTAATAAGACGGCGTTTATGGTTATAGCAGAATTTCCCACAAACTATCGTGTCCGTCTGGACTGTTGCTCTCAATAAACGTATTTATTTTGTTTATCCTTATTTCAAGTAAAGTGTGGCCCATAGAAAAACACATAATGTAATTAAGCTAAAATCTCACACTAATTAACCAAAACGGAAAAAATTGCTTATTAATGGTTGGATGGGAACGTTTTTTGTAGTCATTGCCATACATTAATTCACCGCCTACCCACCCCGCATAATTATGCTGTGGACAAAGTTCTGTTTCAACCGTCTTCCTTTGTTGCAGCCTCGGTCATTTAGGACTTAGGCATTTTTTTTTCGCTTTATTGCTACAGATATATTCATGACTCTTATAAAAGTTAGTTAAGTCAGTGAATCTTTTAAATACGCATTGAAATGGCATTTACACAGGAGATAACAATGATAAATATTACAGGTTGGCAGTGAGTTAATACATATTCAGTTTTGAAATAAGTCGTCAATAATACCAAAAGTTTATTTAAGATAATACTCCTGTAGCAGGTGGTCAGAATTCAACACAAAGAAACTAACAAAAACCTGAACTCAGCAAAGCATCATTATCCACAACATCAACAATGCCACCACCACCACGAACATCAATAACAACAACAGCAACAACAGCAGCAACAACAGCCACTACAACAACAACAAAAACAAAAATCAACAATGGGCATGTTCTATAAAAGTATGATCATTCGACTCCCTGTATATCTGTGTGCAAGGCCGTATAACCATAGCCACAGTTAACGCTATTGCAAGATGTAGTTCTGTTATTTGAGATTCTGTGGTGTTGTTTCCATTATAATCCATGTTTTCTCAAGGGTGTGAACGAAGCACCCCAGCTATGGAACGGCGACGTGCGCAACTTTCATGCGTGCCCTCAGAGATTGTTCGCCCTAGTCCGAGAAGGCTATGTGTAGATCTTTCCCATCAAAAGATCAGGTGTGTGACTGAAAGACAATATTAAGAAGGAGTCAAGGAGTAGTAGTAGAAAGGCTGCAGAAAGAGTCAGGAGCCCAGAGGAGGAGGCAAAGGAGGGAGGGGCTAGGGGCTGAAAGAGGAGACGAAAGCAGACGACAGAACATTGTTAGAGAGCAGGAAAGGAGGTAAAAGGAGGCAATTTTAGAAAAATAAATTGTTCGGTTGTTACCCGGATTCGAATCCTCGACCTTTGAATGAGAGGCCAAAACCTTAACCTCTAGGCCACGAGAGCCTCCCCCTCAAACCCCCAAGACCAGGGTAATGATGTCCAAGCTCGTTTGAGTCTAGTGTTATCATTGTCTCTATAATTACCCTCAATACTGCAATACTGCAGTTTCTTTTCTTTTTTTATCATGTTTGTAACGAATATGGAAATATACTAAGAGGTAAAGAGTGAAAAGATATATACATTTCAGGCTGAAGTTGTGGTTCAAGCACACTTAATTACAAGTATGTTGTGACTTGATTTCACAAATGTTGATCAAAAATGAACGAGACAAAAAAAAATAATACAGGTTACTGCTTATTGACAAGATTGAAACTTACCCGGTAGTTGACAATCTTATTTGAGGTCTCTTCCTGTGGAGTAATCACGCTCCAGTTGCTTTCAATCTTGAGTCACCCAGTCTTCTTGGACACAACGCCGACAGTAAAACAGGAAGTCGCCTTCCTTTCCAGGAGTCGCATCACATTTGGGGGTGCTTTTTCTCACGCAATACCGCCGAGAGATCGACTCTTTGCAGAATTTCTTTTCCTGTTTAAATTTGCAGTTTGAAATTGAATCTTAAAGGTTAAACCTTTCCCACATTCTCCTTTCTTTTCCTCGTTAGACTTCAGAAATTTGTGCTTCTTGCCTCTGAAACGAAGTATAAGGGTCTAGGAGGCTTTAGACCACTGCAAAAACATACCCGCCCCCCCCTCCCCCCCCCCTCTCTCTCTCTCTCTCTCTCTCTCTCTCTCTCTCTCTCTCTCTCTCTCTCTGTGTCTGTCTGTCTCTCATTCTCTCCTCCCCTCTCTTTCTCTCTCTCTCTTTCTCTTATACAATGTATATATATATAAATATATATATATATATATATATATATATATATATATATATATATATATATATATATATATAATTTACTAGGAAATACACAATGGTTTTTGCATCCGCTTGTTAGTAGAAAGTCTCTGAGCGAGAGAAAAATAAGAGCGACAGAGAGGGAAATGACTGTGAGAGAGGGAGAAATACGGTCAGTGAATAAAGAAACTGTGCATACTTTAATTAAATACCCACAGTTTCATTAATTGAAAGCCAACTTTCGCCAAATTTTGCACGGAAGCTGACATAAGTTCTTGAAGTACAATTTTTGATTGGCAAGAAAAAAAATTGAAATACAACCTTATTTCTACTTTTAAAAATGCCACATCTGTCGGAAAATATAAGAAGGCTAACGTTAGGAATGCTCCGGGCTGGAAGTACACTGCAATATGTGGCTCAAAAGCTCAACGTCCTCATAAACAGCAGTGGACGTTTCTGAGCACAAGTCGTGACGTCTAAAACGACAAATGATAGCCCTAAAAGTAGTAAGCCTTGGATCACAACTCGGAGACAAGACCGACACATCCACCGCGTTCATCTCCAGAACAGATTGCGTCCTGCTTCACTGTGGCACGTAATGGCCCTGGAGTTATACCAATCTCAGCGAGAACTGACCAGCCCTAAACATTTGATAAACTTGAGCAATAGCAAGAACGAATTTAGCAGGAGATTCTCTCAGTAGTTTTTCCAAATACTTATCTTTTCCATGCGTCGACGGTGTCATTCAGTCATCAGTGTGGCAAGTAGCCACACGCGACACTGATTTCGTAAATTTGGAAATTGGGGGCTTCACTTGTGATTGGTATGTTTGTGCTGAAATGTACACTTCAATGAACATTATATATCCTCATGACTTCTTCCTTGATATGTGTGTCGTCTAGAAAAGAAATTGATTCTTTAAGGAAAATTGGTTTGCAAGTGATTTCTAAGCATACCTTCTTTTTCCGTCAGTATATAATATAGAAATAGAATAGGGGGGGGGGAGGAGGGAGACAGAGAGAGAGAGAGAGAGAGAGAGAGAGAGAGAGAGAGAGAGAGAGAAAGAGAGAGAGAGAGAGAGAAGAGAAGAGAAGAGAAGAGAGAGAGAGAAAGAGACAGACAGACAGACAGAGACTGAGAGAGAGAGAGAGAGAGAGAGAGAGAGAGAGAGACTGAGAGAGAGAGAGAGAGAGAGAGAGAGAGAGAGAGAGAAGGGGATGCGGGAGGGAGAGAGAGAGAGAGGGGGGAGGCACAGAGAGAAGAGGGTGGGTGGGGTGAAAAGAAACAGACAGATAAACAGTCAGACAGACAAACAGATAGAGAGACAGACAGATAGATAGATAAATAGACTGACTGACTGACAAGCAGATAAACAAACATGGCAATCCAACAACTTTCAGGGGAAAGACTTTAGTGGCATTAGTTCGTGGTGAGGACTACTACTGCTTCGTACATTATAAAAGTCAGAATAGTAAGGGTGTTTGTCTGTGGGGTGGGGTGGGGGGGGGGCGGTGGGAGGGGATAGAGCTCCTAAGTAACGGTCTGGATGCCTCGTCAGTCCCGGGTTGTCAGCGCGTGAGACACGAGACCCGATACTTCCCATCAGTCTGTGAACGTTTTAAAAGATCGGAGTCTATTCCTGGAAGTTCCGTGGCGTCTGAGGTTCCGCATTGAGGATACTTTTTGTTCTTGGTCTTATCTTCTTTCGTCTATTTAAACAACGTCTTTGGTTTTGAGTATGGGCGCGGATGCTTAGAAGGCGCTTTGGCTTATCCTGCTTCTTTTTTCTCCCTTTAGTTTCATGTGAGTTTTACGGCGCTCACAACGACATAAGTCCATATGAGCGCGCGAAATACAAGACGATTGTATCCACAACAGTTCACAGCAGGGCTTCGTCTTATCTGTTTGGTTAAACATTTTATGGTAAAAATATTTATTTAAAAAACAATAATTTACATCTTAAATAACAAATATTTACATTTTAGAGTGAAGGTACATTGTCCTTGTACATTTTAAAAATCTGTTTGGAGCCATTATAGAGAACACATTCCGTAGTTTTGTACATTTGAAATATTTTCTTCTGGTCTCTCCCAAATCTTGACATTCTGTTAGTATGTGCTCGATGACAAAATTCATATTGCCTCCCATGCAAACGGGCCTCCCAACTCCCTGCAGGAGGTACCTATGTGTTATATGGGTATGTTCAATGCGTAATCTAATTTTTTCTTAAACCAACAACTTCATCTTTTCTGGAGATGCCCGAAGATTTTCGTGGACCTAGTTTGGGCATACCATTGTGGGATTTTTCTTGTTCATGTATTGTTGGCCCCAGTGTTCTTCCCTTAGACAAGAGGTGTTTCTTTCTCTCTGTTGTAATTGTCTATCGTTTCTGTTTTTGATCTAGATTTCTTCTTCTCCAAGTGTCAGGTCTAGAGAAAAGATCACCGCTCATGATTCATTCCTGTTACCATTCCTTCTGATCAGCTCAGTTTTTTTTATATTATGTGTTGGTTGTCATGAAGCTATTTCAGGCCATCTGAGTATGTTGTCATCTGTCTTCCTCTACTTCTAGTTTCCTCTGTCTTTCCATTTGTAGCAAGTTCTAAAATCTCTGTATTCCTTTTTGGTGGCCAAATAAAAATAAAATAACATGTTGTCTCCTTCTTTCATACACTTTATAAGACGACCCAAAATCAAGTCTGAACTTTCTATGGACTACTGCTTTTGATCACGACTTTGTGATTCTCATAATATAATTATAAGTATAACTCAGATGGAGTCGCAAATTCGCCATTGTTGTCTTATTTATTGGATGCTGTGCTTAAGGTCATTCACCACGCTATAACGTGCAACATGAAGTTACTACACTTCGCCTTGGTCACATAATAGATTTCATGTTATGAGTTTTGTTTTTCGGTTGTATTGACAAAACCCCAACTATACATCGTGTGTTCCAGGGGTGTTTACCTGCCAACACTGGTGAATAAATCCTCCAGCAGTATTATTGCCTTTCCCCGATCCTCACCTCAGCACCATGTGTACAGGATGACCGAGTGCCTCATGTGTGGCTTGCCTTTGAAACTGAAAACAACAAAAGGAAACATTTGAATCGCACATTCGACAACAACAAACTACTGACATTCCTTTATTGAAACCAGTGTGAAAATCAGCCTGCACACACGTGCAACACAGAAATCTAGATACAGAAACATATGACTATTTGTGTTTCTTCTTTGTTGTTGATTTGTTTACTGCGTTATTTTTGCGCTATAGCCATTAGCTGGGATGGCTGCTTCTTATTCATAGCAGCAACCTCAACTTGCACATCTGACACACAAGTCGCGTGTTCTGAACCGGTTTGCTTACGTCATAAACCAGTTCTGAGTACAGAAAAGAAACAAATCAAGCACTGACCTTTTCCACACTTATATCCTTCTATCTTGTTTGAGGTTTGGTGGTAGGGACAAGATGATGGGGCTCCCCTTGCCTGAGAACCTGATCTCGAGACTATTGTGGAACTCATATGTGTCAATAATATTACTGTTATCAA